CGGACGAGCACCTTTGAAAACCGTTGGATGTCAAACAGTCATAGTGGCATTCGTCCAATCGTGGTACGACTAGAGGTGTCTTGCTTGGTCGCTAGCTACTACATGTAGCTAGTAGCTACTGGTGGCCAGCTCCAACTTGCAGCTACATGTAGGCATACATGTAGCTTGTGCTCGGATGACAAGCTAACGGCATGCCCTCGCACTCTTCAGAGGAACGAGAGAACAACCTGGCAGTCAGCTGCAAGAGATATTTGGAGGACACAAACTCGCCCCAGTCAAAAGGCATTTGTTTGTTTGTGGCTGGCTAGTTGGCTCTTGCTAGCTAAAAGTACGCTAGCGGGGCACAAAAAGATGTGAGTGGTCAATTCGGACTCGGGATCCTGAGTAATCTCTGTTCCGCCGCTTGGGTTGGTGTTTTGATTATTTGGGGGGCAGCCCCTCCAGTGTTCGCAGCCAGCATGAGCCAGCTAGCAAATAGATCCAAAGCGACCGCCAACAAGTCAATGACAAAGTGCGTGTCGATGGTTTTCATTTTCCCCAACGTAATGTGTCGAGCTACGGTAGTGTCTAGCTAAATCAGCTCTAGCTTTTGCCGACCATCTAGATAGCACGATTTTACAGCATGCTTGGCTATACCGTATCCTCTATAGATATTGCACTGCCTGTCGCCCCGACTGCTATCGTACGGCACCCGTACAAGCAGCTATTCGTTGGGTGTGCAGGCTTAGCATCTAATTATTATTCGCCTGTTGCAACAACCGTTGATACTCGTGGACAAACTGTGTGACAAAGGCTCGTTGCACATCGGTTTGCGGCGATCGTGACAATACAGAAGGCATGGTATCGTGTCCCAAGCGACTGGCATATGCCGTTTGCATGATCCGCAGAATATCCGTAGGCGACAATGAGGGATAGAGTAGACTGAGAAGACAGCTTCCCACCAATCCGGCACGTCCTCGTCCACCCCAACAGTGCAAATAGATTGCCTTTTTATTGTGTGGGGTGAGAAGAAAGTTGAGCAAGTCGAGTAGCAACTGTTGGAGTGGTTCTTGGGATTCCGGAACATTGAGATCTTCAATGGGACAATGCAGAAATTGGAGAGTATCACTGTCGTCATCTCTCCAAAATTCTTTTACCATGGGAGCGTAGTGGGTAAACGGATGAGGGAATCTTTGTCGGAGGCTTTGCGGTTCTAGAAATACCAAACCTCCCTTTTGGGCCCAAGTGTCGTAATCATCCTGTGGCGGCAATTCAGACTGCAAGGAGCAAAAGAGCCCAATCTTGGCATCTTCGACAAGCAGCTGTATATGCTGTCGGACTTCCTCGTATGTGGGACCTCCTTCGGCTGGGGTTTGTGCGGGATACTGACCAATCATGAGACGACCGGGAATCACCCAATTGCAATACCCACGACGTTGTTGTCCGCCGTCCAGCGCAAAACTAGAAGGATAAAACAACTTGGCACTCAACCGGTCGGCCGTGTCGTCATACAAGTCCTGACATAATTGCTGTCGTACTTGAGCCGCTCGATCCAAGAGTTGCAGCTGAAGAGGCGTGGGAGTATTGCTGCTGGCAGTGGCGGCACGAAATCCAAACAAATTCAGGGCACTGCTGCTGCTGCTGCTGGAGCCAAACAGCCAAAAGGGAAGCCAGTGCCCACGACGACGACGACAAAACATGGATGTTGAGGAAGCCATGGTCCATCGGATTATGAATGTGGCGGCTGTGAGCAGTGAGGGTTGACGGATCTTGGATCTTTTCGTACAATCGAAGCATCTGCACACCCCTGATGATAAGAAACCAGAATGGGGCTTACCTCACTGAAAAGCATGCATGAGACAATGTGTGCAAAGACAAAGCAATAAGAGAGCCATGGTAAATATAAGGGGGGGTTCAGAGTAGGGAAATTATCTACGGAAGCCAGCCGGGGCCAGGCTTAAGCAAAGAACAGTCGAAATTCTGGACTAGGCTCGGTGGGATCAGGGGCAAGAAAGTGAGGACCATATTGTGGTGGATCACAAGTTCTCTCCCAATTCACAACAAAGTGAAGCTAGACCTTAGGCCCATTTTGAAATTACCTACAATAAAGTAGTGCTTCTTAGTTAGATGCAATGCATTCAACCGGACGAGCCACGAAGCTGAAGCACCATAGTTATCAGATCCACCAGGCCCAGCCTCAAATCCACCAGGAAGGTCGAGCCACAAAGCTGGAATTGATATTAGATCCAACATGTTGAAATAGATCTAATGGAATCAGTCAACCAACCATGCAGGGTAGTCTAACCACAAAGCTGAAATACGAATCATGGATCTTTTTGTGCCGTCTTAGCTTAGGTCTCCACACCACACCTCTGATGAGTACGGTACGTAAGTAAGAGTGGCCGCGCTACAATATTGGCATCCCACGAGAACGAGGTTATTAGTGTCTAAGATTTCATCAGTTTACTACTACCTAGATATTTTATTGTATCTATTCACCGCAGAGAATCGATCGTCAATCTACCTGTGGTAGCTAGCTAGGGAGTGCTGGAGCTGCTATCATTGGCTTTGAGCTCATTCAGCAGCTCCTCACATTCCTTCTTCTGACTATCTGACATATTCTTATGAGCACATTTGCCAAGAGCCTTCTTGAGCCAAAATAGGGCAACTGATTTATCCACAACCACTCCGTAGTTGCCTCTGGCAAGTACCATTCCCAAAACGTGTGCTGCCCAGTCTGAACCGTGGCCTGCTGCCATGGTGAGAAACATGATGCCTCTGATAAGACATTTACGGACACCCAAACCTGCCAGATAATAGTGACCCATTACTGCTGTTGCAATCACACTCCCTGCACAATGTGCTTTCTCGACCCATTGGAAGGATAATTTGAGGTCTTGCTCAACCGCAGCAGTGCCCCGTACATAATTGATGGCTACGTCATACATCGCTTGTGCATCACCATCTTCGGCCTTCTTCACCATTTTCTCCATCTTATTCTTTTGCTGGACCCTTTTGTTCCATTCTTTGGGCAGATCTTCAGGGATCTCACCCTTCTCAATTGCCGTTTCAATGATGTTGCGGTGCTGGATGGCTGGCAATAGTGTTCGGCCCATGGGTTGACGGGTGACGGGTGATGCCGCTCCATGTAAGCCTTGATACACTTGTGTTCATAGACACGTCCATCCATAGCTGTGACAGGTTCCCATGGCAACTCATGGCTGATGGGACAGATCAAATCATCTGCAAATGACTTGGTCTTGGCAGATTGTTGCGTCTCGTCGCCTTGTTCAGTTTCTTCTCCATCCGTCTTGGCTTCCTCTTCTTCTGTCTCCTCTTCCTGCTCTTCAGCGTCAGGACTGGTAATAGACTCGGTCACAGCGGCTTCGTTGGTGTTCGCCGTCATGGTAAAATCCTACAGTTATCGTCGCAACGTGTCGGGTGATGGCTGGAAAATGAGAGAAGCTCTGTCGAGAGACGAAAACTGGATCTTTCACGCCGTGGCAACGGTCGTGGAAAGCAGATGCTTAGAGTTAAAAGGCTTCTTTGGAATTCCAAGGGAGAGCTGCCCTCCAAGCCCAGCTAGCCGTGTCTGTCATTGGCACACGCAAATCCAACCATGCAGGAGAAGGATGTTTGTTTCGTTGTTGTGAACGTCCGTCGCAACCGATGCAATGGTATGATTTGGTTATTTGATGTGACCATTTTTTGGCTATGGTCTTGCAAGGAAGTGCTGCAGTCTTTCTTCCTTCTGAGAGGCCGCCGCGAATGGTTCTTTCCGGCGCCATATAGGATAGGCGACACGAGCACCGTCAACGCTTTGCCATCCTAGTACCAGTACTAGTGCCGAAACAAAAGCAAAGAGCAATCCACAGATCAAAGCGATATCTATAACGAAAAAGCAATGATCATGCATACTTTTCAGATTGGGATTGATTTCTGGAACCCAGGTCAAAGAGTTGGGATTCATGGCTACCATAGTAGAATTGCTTGGTTGCCTATATTCATGCAACTGAAATACTGCATTTCATTTCCTTTTTTGTTGGGCATAATCGGTATGCTCTATCACAAGGGCAGATTAGGACGTTTCGATCATTGCCCTGAGGCTGTGATCGATGAGGTCGCGAAGCTCTTTCCCAGCTTCCTTCTTTGCAGAATCTGACAAGTGGTCATGGGGACAGTCCCCAATGGCCTTCACTAACCAGTAGATTGCCTCTGCTATATCCACTCTCAAGTCAAACGTTCCATTGGCAAATGCCATTCCCAGGTGATATGCTGCAACATTGGATCCTTGGCTTGCAGCATTGGTCAAGTGGATGAGGCCAAGGGATTGCTGCTTGGGTGCACCCCAACCACCCAAATAGCACCATGCCATCATTGCTGTGCCTTTGACACACCCTGCACTGCGAGCTCTCTTGAACCATTCACATGCTTTCTTTTCATCTTTCTTGACACCATGCACACCATTATAATACCTGTGTCCTACTCCGTACATAGCATCCATATCACCTGCTTCTGCCTTTTTCACCAGTGTGTCCATCTGCTTCGCCTGGTTCACCTTTTCCTTCCACTTGGCAGCCAGATCTCCATCAATGGCACCTGCCTCAATCAATGCCTCAATGTGGTTACGAGTCTGGATGGCTGGCAAGAGCTTCGTGCCCATCTTTTGCTGGGTCATGGGAGACTTGAGGTCCCCTGTGTGGGTGTTGAAGTGTTCCTCAATGAAGGACCTGTCATAAATGCGTGCATCCTCGGCCATGACTGGTTCCCATGGCAATTCCAAACTGATGGGACAGATCAAATCATCCGCAAGGGATTTCTTCTGGCGCTTGGCTCGAAGGCGTTGATCCCTGTTGCTTGCCATTTTCTAATCTTCCAACAAAGGTATGACAGAAAGCAGCGCGAGTGGACGACAGACGTGTTGGGTCAGTTGCTGCTGAAAAAGAGCATGTATCAATCATTTGGGCATACCTTTTCAATCCCTGCACAAGATCCGTTCGTATCAACGAGCGGAGAAACGTTGGGTCAGAAAGGCAGCCACGGTAGGCGAACAAGTCAGGCAATCGATGCCATCGGCTCACCTTTCGATCTCTCTGTGGCTATTGCTCCTCCCTTCAAGCTGGTGCCTTTTTTCTGCAAAAGTTGTCCTCGACTGATTTGTGGGCTGTCTCCGCAGTCAACACCGATTGTTGTGATCCTTTCGCTGTGCGTTGGTTGTCAGTGGGACTCGAGTCGCAAAGATTGAATCATACGAATCCTGGCATGTTTGCGCCGTTGCATGCAGATATATAGAAAGCGTTCGACATGCGTTTCGATGCATTCTAGCTAGAGGACTGTGGGTGCGTTCAAATTGACTATTTTACACCCTGAGTTGTCGATTGAAGGAGAATTCTCGTCATTACCTAGCGCTGGTGCCACGGGACCCAGTCGTTGTGACGATTGCTTCCATTTGGGCTGACACAAATCCTCTCCGACCGGGCAGCAACGTCTTCGTGAATGAACGTTAGACTTGAGATCCCCTATCTCTACCCGTAATCTCGGGAAGAACCGAAAAGTCTACCGGTTGGTCGGTCAGCTGCTTCCAGAACTGGTAGTACTCGCTGATACAGCTGTCTCCATCATTACATGTCTTGAGTTTGGTCCACGGAGAGATTGGTTGGACGTACATTTCCCAGCTTTGACGCAGCCAGTCCACCTCGTCCGTGTTGTTTGTCGTCGTGTCCAACAACATGGACTCCAGATTCTGACAATACCATCCCTGTTGGTAGAATACCATGAAGGCTGGATGGTTCTGGAATCCGCAGTCGCCATTGTAGGGATTAGCCACGACGCGCAGATGGACGTGGTCGGCCGAGAAACTTTCAATTTGGAGAATGGCTTGGACCGCTGGACCACTGTCGTTCTTCTGACAGTGGATCTTATTACTATTGAAGAGCCCATTGAGCCATTCTCGTAGACAAATGAAATGTCCCGCTTTCAGCTCGTCTTCCAGAATCAGGTTGACAAGCACACAGTCATCACCACTACTACTTTCCGTGTTGGTCAGAAGATGATCCTTGTTGTCGTCCATGGTGATTCGCAAATGAACACCGGCATGTAGCACAGGAGTGAATTCCCATACCGTCTCACAGCGATCTCGTTTTTGTAGCCACGGCTTGCGAGGTGCATAACGATGCCAGAAACTTCCTCCTTCCATTTGGACGCAGTGTTCCAGAGTCCCTAGCCAGAGACCCACGCGTAGTAGTTCGCGGGCGTAGCGTTCTGCATCGCTACTACTAGTACAGGTAGTGCTATTATTAATAGTACCACCCACAAACTGACACAGCTGCGATTGCAAGAAAGTTGTTGGCAGTGGCAAAAAGGAGGCAATTCGGTGGGCCACGGGAAGGGTATCGAAATGGGAGAAGAATCTGCTACTGGCACTACTATCGGCCAAACCCTCCGCAATAGCCTTGATCATTTGCTGACGATACAAGCGTATCCGGTTGCTCTCTTCGTCATTCTGTTCCTGTTGGTCTGCCATCATATATGTATATACAGTACGCAGTGCTGTCCTGTCTCGATCCCACCTCTTTTGTCGATCTCCTCTCTGCTCGAACAGATCCTTCTTTGGCGTGCCTTCTACCGGTATCTTCTATCCAAAAGATCAAAGATTTTGAACTAGGGTTAGGAATCCACCGGACGTCACGGAAAGCGTCCAGAATATTCTTCTTCAACAGAAACAAGTAAGTTTCGGAGCACTACTAGGAAACATAAGCCTTTTAGAAGGAGGAGAACTTGAAGGACACACGCGCACGCTTCTTGGTTCGAAATCTGTAAAAGGGAAGTGCAGACGGCAAGGATCGATCCTGCTGTCGTCGATCCATCCCTCTTATTCTTGCTATCTCTAGCTACCAGCTACTAGCTAGGCATGTCGAAGACTGTTACTCATAAACTCCAATCAGGCAATGGCGCAAGCAGCTCTGTAATCCGAGACGATTACGCCACAAAAAAGTCCTCCGGACCAATGTCATGCATCAACTCACTTTTAAAATCCAACCAGAAAAGTGAACGGCGATACCTCAAGCCAATCGCGGATTTGGAATGTGGCCATGGACTAATGCCATCGATACCCAGCAAGGCAACCCAGAAAACGCCATTGATACAATTGATAAGATGCAGTGCTTTTGGGAATTGGAATTCAAGACACTGGCTCGATCGAGAGCAAGAACTAAACGTGCCTTGTTTTAAAAGCAAACAGCGCGTAACTTGGCACCACCCTTTATGAATTCAAGTGGGGGTGTCTGTCAGTTTCAGCCATGGATGAGATGGACGCATGGATATAATCGTCAACATGCCTTTGGAAGAAGCTGCGTTCCATGGATTGATCCAGACATGAGATATCAGAGCTTTCTGCTACGTACAGTGCGGGCGGTACCAGGCAGAACCAAGCCTCCTTTCAGTTGCCGACTGCAGTAACCAGTAGTTGTTAGCTAGCTAGCATGGAAGCCGCGTCCTCGTATAGTGATGGCAATGGTTCGTACTGTTACGGAATGAATGCTTGGAACAAAGCACGTATGTACACAGTGATGAGGCTCTGGATGGATCTGCTTCTTCCAACGACAAAAGCGTCCAGTGTCATCAATTTTCTGATGTGGCCCCGAAACGCAAGCACAGACTCTCACGCTGCTGCTACATTCAGAAACCCCCGATCCCTCTATAGATAGATGCGATAGAGGCTATGGGGTGACGGCCCGCCAATGGTTTGATGGCCAACATATACCTTATAAGGCGTCATAGGCATCAAGGCAATCGGGCTACACAAGATGAGCCAGCTATGCCGTTGGCGACCCTGTGTTTTCTCGTGGCCCAACCTCTGAGTACGCTACCTTGTCGATCGGGTTGCTGCCTGGAAGGATCCACCACTGCGTATGCTCTCGAGTCGAGCCCCATGACAATTGGCGACAACGAGCACGTCTCCTTTGCAAACAGTGAATCATGAGGTCCAACGCAAACCGTTTTCTTTGGTTGGGAGGCCACGGTCGGATCACGCTTTGGTTCAATTTTGTAGGCATCCTTTCAAATGGCATTCAACATGAGAATCAACTAAGACGCACTAGCTAGCTACATCCAACTTTGCGTAGAATGGTAAAAGTGCCTATGTAACAAATTATGTAGAGTGTGCGTGCGGGTTGTTGGGAGCAGGATAACCTCCCTCACGACAGAGAGAATCTTCCCTAAGCTGATCCCGTCTTAGAGATTTTAAGGAATCTCCCCCATTACCTCGCCAGCCAACAATGGCTCGTCTTCCATGTATTCCCGTTCCACCTTGGCCAGCATCTCTGCTGTAATGGCCTCTCCTTCCTTGACCCACATGTTGCGGTTGTTTCTAGCGTAGTTGAGATTCTCTGCACTAGTGGGACCAAAGACACCACAATCACTCAACTTCTGGGATAGAGGAATGACTGCAATAGGCACAAACAAACAATCATAGTGAGACAACAAAGGGTAAGCCAAGAGGATCCCAAGGGACGACAAGAATAGAACTTACTGTAGAAGTCAAAGAATCCAATTTCACCCTTGTACCAGCCGTCCGCTGGGCTGTTTTCTGCACGGCCCTCTCGGTAAGCCTTGTAGATCTCTCGGAAGAGCCGCTCATTCCACTTTCTGTAAATCATCCAATGCTGGGACATGTGTGCAACATCAGCAGCCTGGATCAAGTGCTCAATCTACCACAAGAAGCACAGGTTAGACAACATGACTATAGGCTTCTGGACATGAGGCCAGATCATCCACAACAAAGAAACTCACAACAATGGTGGCCTTCCTGTTGACAGCTTCTAGAGTCTTGGGGACTGGACTTTGCTTTTCCTCATCACCAGAAAAAGTTTCAGTTGTGCTGGAGTCTGAACCAAAATTGGAAAAAGCCTTCTCCCATCGGCCATTTCTGAGTGCCTTGAGCTCTTTGTCACCCAGATCGGTGGCCATGACACTGTTCACAACCAGTGCTCGAAATCGGCTCACTTCCCGAGGACTGACACAGATTGTAGCCCTGAGTGCCTCAAATCGATCCTCATTGAGCAAATCTATTCCCATGTCAAAGGACTTCTGCTCAGCAACAGAGCGATTTTGGTACCTTCGCGCTGCAGTCTCATTTTCCTGTGTGAGGTAAAGCAGGCAAGCAGGCAATCAGTCAGGAATGTCTATGTCTAGAAACCAACCAGAAACAACTGACATGGATATTCAACATGACTAACCTTCACAAGCTGATCGTTTGGGACTCCAGGATGGTCGGCTGAAAGAGTAATCAAGGGTGATGTCAGTTGGGCTCATTGAGTCAGTGCTAGTCCGCCGTAAACACATACCATCATGAATGAGCGCTGAGAACAAACAAGCAAAGTGCGTAAGGGGATCTGATGCAATCCCATAAGTATGGTCCTTGGATTTGGAAATCAAGGGAGGTAAGGTCTTTGCACACAGCTTCAATATATCCAAGAAGGCAAAAAGCAAAACTTACATGCAGAGCTGCCTGGACACTACTCCTAAACCGCTCCTCATTGTCACCCAAGTCAACCTCAGTAGCAGCAATGATTCGGTTGAGGTACTTCGTCATTGCCATGACAACATAGCTAGCATGAGCTGCATGGTGATGACAGCAAAACAACAGAGTGAGCAATAAGACCATACATGAGAATCAAGCATTCCAGAAAATGAATCTCTCACCAAAGTTGTGAAAAGGGTTGTCATTGTTGTACAGATCAGCAACCTCAGTGATGAACAATCTGAGCTGTTGAACAACGTCCTCTGGGACTTCTACATCATCATTCTCACGTTGACGGCGAGCAGCTTTCCGGTCAAACTTGGGTAACTCAATAATCTCTTTCACTTCTTCAAGTGGCATTGTAGACCCAGCACTGATGTCTGTAGAAGCTTTACTAAAGAGCTCACTGGATCCCCGCAGCAATGCTGCTCTTCTGGCTAAAATTTGTTTGAGGATCCCTTTAAATACTTCCACATTCCACTCAATCCATCGCTGAAGGGACTCAAGCTCTTCTTCGCCATCTGCGTCACTACTGCCAGCAACGCTTGATGCAGCAAAGACACTGCAGTCTTGATAATCCAAACCAGAGAACTGCCCACCTTTGATCAGCCAGTAGGTCTTGAGCTCTCCCTTTTCAACAGTGTTAACCATGTCTTCTCGCTCCATGACCCATGGTTTCCTCCCGGCCTTCACCAGCAAAGCAGCTGTTTCTTCTGACAAGTGAATTCTTCCAGATACACTGTATCTTTGGATTAGGAAGGCAGTAGACACAGTGTCACCAAACAGCTGGAAGCGGCTGCCTTTGCCCTTCAGGAATCCTCCAGTGACTGGACCACTGTGTGTTGAGCAAATGAGCAAGAAAAGTCAGATAGCATCTTAATAAAACCCGGAGAAGTTGACAAGAACAAACCTGTGTAGACCTGCTCGAAGGGACATGTCTGAGGTGTCTGGCCCAAACTGAATCTCAAGTTTTCTCAAATACTTGGGCATCTTCTTCATGCACTGCCCAACAAACCTAGCCATGAGAACAGCATGATCTGACTGGGGCTTCGGAATTCCTGTTGCTGCAACTGCACAATGAAAATGATGGTCAGAATAATCAGAAATGGCATCGATATACGAGTCATGCTCCAAAAACTACAAACCATAAGATTCCCTGACAGTTTCAACTTTGTACACCCCATTTTCTTGAGCAATCTGATCAAAGTTTTGGAAGAGCTGTTCGAGGAGCTACAAATGGTTGAAATTGGGTTAGTCCAAGAATCAGACCAGGTATCGTGTTATGGAACTCACGGCAACACTCACCTGGAATACCTGAACAGGCTCTCTAACAGAACTCCAGGCAGTGAAACCTGTGATATCAAGAAGAGCCACAGTGGTGTGGACGAATACATCTGGCAGTGGTTCGGCCTCAAGATTCTCCCCACTGTCCCAGAACTTTGGTAATATATACACTGCCAATGAGAGAATGGTGTCAAGACTGATCAGAAGGCTCCAGCATCCCATCAAGTCAGACGCTGCATTTGCCTCCTGCATCAGTAGCCCTGCGCAGAGACTGGCAATGAGAAAGAAGATTCGGATGAACAGCATCACAGCAAGACTCCTTGTATCATTCAAATCTTCCTTCACCCGCAATGTCAGAAACGCAATCAGGCATGCCGGAATCAAGACAGCCCCCTTCCAGCCCATTTGAACAAAATACCAAAAGTCATTCTCAGATCCGCAGTAGTCAAAGGCCTGAACAACTGTGTCTCCTGCTGGCGTGACAAGATCAGTCAGCTTGTACTGAAACTGTTCCTGTGGCGGATCCACCAAAGTCCAGACAAGCAGGAACACAGCCACAAGAGAGGCCGCCGCTGCTACAACGGCATATAACTTCCAGATGTTCAAGCGGACTCGCTGCATTTGCTTTCCAGAGGCAGCCAGCTGGTTGATAGCAGATATACGGATCCACAAAGGAACCAGCTGAAGGACATATCCAATATTTGTCAACCAAATGGTCAAACCACATGTGACGCTAGAAGGGCTCAAAGACCATGTAACAGCACTGCCAACGGCAAGAAGCATTCCAACTTGAATCAGAAACAGAAACTCAGACTGGGCATAATAGATTACCTTTGTCTTCCTCTTGGTGAAAGTGATGGCTATGGAGACAGAGACCAACACTGCTGCCATGATAGCAATCGCCAATGCAGCCTTGAAGAGTGACTCCCCATGGGTATCAACTTCCTTGACCACTCTTGGATGGGATGCAGGGATGAAGGCTTGAAGGAGTTCCAAGTTCTCACCAACCCATTGACAGACTCCAGCCCTTGGGTCAAAGTTTCCTGGATCGCTGCTGCGTTGATGCCAATATTTAAATATTTGGTCCATTTGGAGGTTGTCCACCCTAAAACTTGAAGCCACCTCATGAGCTGGACTCCAGAACTCTTCATCGACACTTGGGTCTTCTGAGATTAAGACCAAACCAGTGCTCATGCCGATTTTGAGGGCTCGAGGATAAGTGTCACAGACACCCATTGGATCCCCCATCTTTTCCTCAATAGTGGCTTCAGGTTCGCATAGCAAGTGGTGATCAACACGATGGTCCACACACTCCTGTGTTGGTGCTGGAAATAGGATCCTTGTGAATTCTGCATCGGTCCCAATGTACAGTTCAGGCAATGGTTCAGGGTTCCACCAATACATCGCTACAGGTGACTTCGTGGCGTTGGCAGCAGCCCAGATTTGGACTGCTTCTTGGTGTGGATAGCCTCCATTGGCTTCTGGCCCCTCAAAGGCAAATGCGATATCCAAGTGATGTGCCTGCTGCTGTGAATATGATGGCCATTCACAACCAAAATCTACATAGTGGCCTGTGCAACTGGCGGGATACTTGTCACAGTTACTCTCTTCAGTGTGACGGAAGTGGCCACTGTACAACCCCTCCACAAAGAAGCTGATCTCTTCCTCTTCAGTCTCTGGGGCTCGTTGTGCTATAGGATCTGATTCAGCACAGCTTGTCAAGGATACCTCCCTGCAGTACTGTGCCCACCTTGTTGGTCTCTTGAAGGTCTCAGCAATTTTGCGCCGGTTCTTCTGTCCGCGCAAGCCAATGTATGTACCAAGAGAAGGATGCTGCTCAAGAGCAAACTTTGGCATAAACATGGCATTCTCACCCATCAATCCATTGTCTTGGAATGGTTCTACCCCCTCAAATTCCAGCTTCTTTGAAAGATCATCGGGCCAGAGTTCTGGGTAGACATGGAAACAACCTTGATAGTTGTTGGGATCATGAGTACTTTGCACACAGTCCCCAACTTGAGCAGAGAAACTCATTTCGACCAAGTCAGGGGATGCCACAGCCTTCCAGAACTCATTGCCCGACTGGGCATCATAGAAATTCATGTTTACTTCAGGCAAACCAGTTTCAATCGAAGTAGGAATGTCCAGCATTTCAGACAGAACGATCTGCAAAATCCATGCCATAAGGTTAGCGGATTCCCAGGTTCTGGCTGCCAAACGAACCTCCGTGTAGCCCATGGGGGACTGGATGCAGTAACCAAGGGCTTCGGCTTCAGGAGGGTCCTGGGAGTTACAGATCCTGGTCTTGTTCCAATCAGGTAGGACGCTCTTGAGGCAGCCTCCGTTGTAGAAGGTATTAGTACAAAGCCCACCCTCCCCACACATGGATCCCGTTCCCAAAGTAGCCTCACATTCCTCAGTTTGATTGCAAGGAACAAGGGAAGCCCCAACAAGACCAAACCATGGCAAGAGGGAGGAGATCAGCAAAGCAATGCTTAGGCTGGAAGAGGGTTGAGGAAACAACATGGCTCTTCTGCGAAACAACAACACGGTCAAGCAGAAGGTGAGCATTCAAGCAATAATAGTGTGGTCGATGCCGTTGGCCCAACAAGCATGTCGTGAGTGCACTTACAGCTGTTTGTATGGTGTAAAATACAGTATAACTAGTAACCACGAGAAGATAATCAAAGAAGCCTCGATCGACACCAGAATGAGACAGCAAAACAAATTCCCACAAGAGATTGTGGTGGGGTCGTTGATCGATGGAGACGCCTTCGTTGCGGCGGCAAAACGAACCAAACTTCCCAACTATCTCTTGCGCTGAAAAGAGTGAAGGTCTTCTCGGGAAACTGACACCAAGGAATCTTCTTGGATATCGTCTCGAAGTTGAGCCATGCGAACAACAGCTGGCAGGCTTCGTCTGGGAAGATGAGAGGCAACAACATGCATGATGGAAAATACCTCGAAACACTTGAACGAAGGGAGAAATTGTTGGTGGGTAGATCAATAATTGTCAACCCATGCATGAGCGTCGAGCTCTGTGCTCGCACAATTAATCTTGTTCGAGAGCTGAAGGTGGCATCAAGTCAAAAGTTCGTCTCCTCCCCGCGACTTTTCGGTGCAACGTTCCGAGAACGCATTCGGAACTAGAATGTTTCAGTGAAAGTAGAAAGCAGAAGAAGTCTCAGGGAGAAGAAATGAATCCATCAGATTTAACACTAGATCTCGTAGTTACAGATCTGGGTTCCTTTCTTGATAAAAGTACACTTACTGTACCGGTACAAGTCCAAGTCCATGTAAGTAAATAAATGTCTTCAGGGTTCTTGAAAACATGTGATGCCTTTGGAATGTCGGAAGCAGTACATGTACTTATGTGGCTTTGTGGTCTGACGACTGACGTATGACAGTATTTAACGGTACAGTACAGTGTGCCTAAACGTTTTACTTCAAGATTCTTTGACATAGGCGACATGCGGAGTATTTTTGACCATCAAAGACACTACTGAGACACGCCTCCGTAATGAGGATTTATTCAGTGAACTCAGTGAACTGCAACAAGCACTCAGTCGAGTCGAGTCGAGTCAGAGTCGAGTCTGCACGAACAATAAGCTGCCCCTGCCCCCAATGGCTTTCCCTTTTCTTGGGAGCTGACAACTTACTTGACCTTGTGCAGGAAGAGCAGGAGTGGACACACCTCATGATAACGAGTTCCGTACAGCGTAGGGCAGCTTCTGACGACGATGGACGAGCATGTTATATTATTGCAGGTGCAGCGCTGACTCCTCTCCTCCATTCTTGGCTGCCTCCCGACTGCGTGGATTCGATTGTATGGGCCGAGATGTCTCCGAGTTTTTTGACCGTAGTAGCAGACTAGAAGAGAAGAGATCTCCAGTCTGTTTCTTGCCTTCTCTTCTCGTACTAGTACTACTCTCAGAAGGCTAAGAATGCAGCTCTACTTGTGGAGTACCTTTTCGCTTGACAGTCGCTCCAGATAATAAGGAGCAATGGCCTGGCCTGCTGCGGTGCTGTTACCTCCAGCCCTGCGGCCACAGAGTGAACAGAGCTATGGTCCGGGTCGAGTCGAGTCGAGTCGAGTCATTGAAATGCAACTATATATTTGTTTCCTCAGGGTAGAGTTTGGTTGGTGATGCTCGTGTTGATGTGCATTTTCTTGTTTCTGCGTCAAGCAACGACTCGGAGGCGAATGAGACCTGTCACCTTCTTGATTCTGATCTAGCTAGACTACTCTAGTAGATGGAACAATGCATTGGAAATAGAAACAAAACAGGAACGAATCTCCCATAGTAGGCACAAGATCTGACGAGATGAGCGTACTGCTCGTATAGTAGTATGTAGTCTTTTTCATTCAGTGGGAAGCCGACCACCTTCATCGCGGGTCTGGATTATTGTCGACTAGACTTGCTTGGAATAAGCCCACTACCCCTAGAAATAGATCTTGACATGAAGATGGCTCCAAAGACAACCCCCAATGGGCGAGGGCACTTCAACGAACGAACAATGCCGTTTCCTGTCTCCTCCAACGTGGTGTCAAAAAGTACATGCATGACGGTTTGGTTTGAAAGGTTATCTTGGTCGTGTTCAACCTGGTCTACTGTTGGTTCTTCGGATGACGAGGTTGGAATGAGACGGTCGGCGACCAAGCTGAGCCTTCTTGTGGTTGTAGCCTCTTTTTCTCGCCATGAGGATGCACCTCCTTCTCCCGAGCTACTCGAAGGCATCCTGCGGCACGTACTAGTAGGTTATCGAAGCAGCGACGACGGCAATAGGAGCCCGAAGCTCACCCAAAGATGCAATTCCGAATCCCTTGCCTTGTGAGTGAGTGTTGTGAGGAAATACAACATCAAGTCCATGGTCCAAGCCCTACTCTGTGGTTCGCTCCTGCGAGTCCGCCAGATTGAACATCAATTGCCCTTGCCGAGCAGCTACGGTACGATGCATGTGCCTCCATGGTTCTCGTGTTCAAACTTCTACGATGAGCTCCCGGCATTGGGAAGATGATCATGGCGCCTTGTATCTCTATTGCTAGTCTTTGTCCTTTGACCCACTCCCCTTTCCTGGCCTCCTTCCTTGTGATCTTCGGTTAATCTGCTCGATCGTGGCCCAGGCATTGCAATGCTGCCCAGCACCTCGAGTCGAGTCAATTCCCGCACTTAGTCCACTCCAACCACATCGTAATTCTGTTAACAACACGTCAACAGCACGGCTGCTCAGCCATGGATGTGCTTCTAGCTCAAGAAAGCAACCGGAGGACGGAAGGGACGAAAGAATTTGCTATGTGTAGTTTACGACGGTGAGCAAAGCTTCTGGCTGGCGACCGCGTACAATCAATTCACCTGGCCCCGGCTGCATGGCTTCCGTAGATAATTTCCCTACTCTAAACCCCCGTTGAGATTCACCTCCTAAACGTGCTGGGCCTCTATGGCTGCTGTTAGACATCAAGGCTTCTGCAGTCCACCTACTCGACATGATGTTCGCAGTGAATGATGCCGTGTTGCGCCGCCACATTTCTGGCGCAGAGGGTCGGAACTCGACGCACCAAAAGACCATTCCGTGGCGCAGCTTGGTGGTGACATTTGATGCCACTTCTAAATGGCTTGCTTCGGGAGCCTGTAACTTGGAGTGTGTTGCCAAGAATCGATCTACTCCCCTGGGATGCTTGCTCTCTGTACTGGTAAACTAATGAACAGAGGATCGACAAGACACACGTACATCATGGATGTGCTCTACATCACGTTTCCACCACCAGGTACAGCTACAAGTAGAAATCTCGCGTGATACTTTCTTCTCTCTAACTGGGTTCAACTTGCAATAAAGCATGATGAAGTGACGGATGAAAGTTTCATTGTACATGTATTTGCTATGGAGTATGAATGGGGCCTTGGCTGAGGGCAAACCTTGCTCATGACCTGAAGGGCCTAAGCTTATCAGGAATCTCACACCTCTATCAACTCATCAGCAGGGACTGCCTGTTCTTGCAGGTATTCCTGTTCCACCTTGGCCAGCATCTCTGCTGTAATGGCCTCTCCTTCCTTGACCCACATGTTGCGGTTGTTTCTAGCGTAGTTGAGATTCTCCGCACTAGTGGGACCAAAGACACCGCAATCGCTCAGCTTCTGGGATAGAGGAATGACTGCAATAGGCACAAACAACAATCATATATAGTGAGACAACAAAGGGTAAGCCAAGAGGATCCCAAGGGACAACAAGAATAGAACTTACTGTAGAAGTCAAAGAATCCAATTTCACCCTTGTACCAGCCGTCCGCTGGGTTGTTTTCTGCACGGCCCTCTCTGTATGCCTTGTAGATCTCCCGGAAGAGCCGCTCATTCCACTTTCTGTAAATCATCCAATGCTGGGACATGTGTGCAACATCAGCAGCTTGGATCAAGTGCTCAATCTACCACAAGAAGCACAGGTTAGACAATATGAATAGGCTTCTGGGTTTGAGGCCAGATCATCCATTAAAAACTCACAACAATGGTAGCCTTCCGGTTCACGGCATCTAAAGTCTTGGGTACTGGACTTTGGCTTTCCTCCTCACCAGAAATTGTTTCAGTTGTACTGGTATCTGTACCAGAATTGCAGAAAGCCTTCTCCCATCGGCCATTTCTGAGTTCCTTGAGCACTTTGTCACCTAGATCGGTGGCCATGACACTGTTCACAACCAGTGCTCGAAATCGGCTCACTTCCTGAGGACCGACACAGACTGCGGCTCTGAGTGCCTCAAATCGATCCTCATTGAGCAAATCTATTCCCATGTCAAAGGACTTCTGCTCAGCAACAGAGCGATTTTGGTACTTTCGTGCTGCAGTCTCATTTTCCTGTGTGAGGTAAAGCAGGCAATCAGTCAGGTATATCTATGTTTAGAATCCAACCAGCAACAACTGACACAGACATTCAACATCACTTACCTTCACAAGCTGATCATTTGGGACTCCAGGGTGGTCGGCTGAAAGAGTAATCAAGGGCGACATCAGTTGGGCTCATTGAGTCAGTTCTGTGCCACCATCAACACGTACCATCATGAATGAGCGCTGAGAACAAACAAGCAAAGTGCGTAAGGGGATCTGACGCAATCCCATAGGTATGGTCCTTGGATTTGGAAATCAAGGGAGGTAAGACCTTTGTGTAGCTTCAATATTATATGCAAGAAGGCAGAAATACAAAACTTACATGCAGAGCTGCCTGGACACTACTCCTAAACCGCTCCTCATTGTCACCCAAGTCAACCTCAGTAGCAGCAATGATTCGGTTGAGGTACTTCGTCATTGCCATGACAACATAGCTAGCATGAGCTGAATGATGATGACATCAAAGCAACAGAGTGAGCAATACGATCATACATGAGAATCAAGCATTCCAGGCAATCAATCTCTCACCAAAGTTATGAAAAGCGTTGTCATTGTTGTACAGATCAGCAACCTCGGTGATGAACAATCTGAGCTGTTGAACAACGTCCTCTGGGACTTCTACATCAGCATTCTCGCGTAGACGGCGGGCAGCTTTCCGGTCAAACTTGGGTAACTCAATAATCTCTTTCACTTCTTCAAGTGGCATTGTAGACCCAGCACTGAAGTCCGTAGAAGTTAAAGTGAATGGCTTGGCGGATGCACGCATCAGCAATGCTGCTCTTCTCGCTAAAATTTGTTTGAGGAGCCCCTTAAATACTTCCACATTCCACTCAATCCACCGCTGCAGGGACTCAAGCTCTTCTTCGCCATCTGCATCACTATCGTCTCCAACACTTGATGCAGCATAAACACTGAAGTCCTGATAATCCAAATCAGAGAACTGCCCACCCTTGATGAGCCAGTAGGTCTTGAGCTCTCCCTTTTCAATGGTGTCAACCTTGTCTTCTCGCTCCAAGACCCATCTTTTCTTCCCGGCCTTTACCAGCAAAGCAGCTGTTTCCTCTGACAAGTGAATTCTTCCAGTTACACTGTATCTTTGGATTAGGAGGGCAGTAGACACAGTGTCGCCAAACAGCTGGAAGCGGCTGCCTTTGCCCTTCAGGAATCCTCCAGTGACTGGACCACTGTGTGTCGAGCAAACGAGCAAGAAAAGTCAGATAGCATCTTTAAAATAAACCCCGGTACGCTTTTATAGCCACAGAAGTTGACAAGAACAAACCTGTGTAGACCTGCTCGCAGGGACATGTCTGAGGTGTCTGGCCCAAACTGAATCTCAAGATTTCTCAAATACTTGGGCATCTTCTTCATGCACTGCCCAACAAACCTTGCCATGAGAACAGCATGATCCGACTGGGGCTTTGGAATTCCTGTTGCTGCAACTGCACAATGAAATGATGGTCAGAATAACTCAGAAATGGCATCAATATACGAATCATACTCCAAAACTACAAACCATAAGATTCCCTGACAGTTTCAACTTTGTACACCCCATTTTCTTGAGCAATCTGATCAAAGTTTTGGAAGAGCTGTTCCAGGAGCTATGAGCGGTTGAAATCGGGTTAGCACAAGAAAGACCAGGCATCGTGTCATTAAACCCATTGCAACACCCACCTGGAATACCTGAACAGGCTCTCTAACAGAACTCCAGGCAGTGAAACCTGTGATATCAAGAAGAGCCACAGTGGTGTGGACGAATACATCTGGCAGTGGTTCGGCGTCAAGATTCTCCCCACTGTCCCAGAACTTTGGTACTATATACACTGCCACTGAGAGAATGGTGTCAAGACTGATCAAAAGGCTCCAGCATCCCATCAAGTCGGACACTGCATTTGCTTCCTGCATCAGTAGTCCTGCACAGAGACTGGCAATGAGAAAGAAGATTCGGATGAACAGCATCACAGCAAGACTCCTTGTATCATTCAAATCTTCCTTCACCCGCAATGTCAGAAACGCAATCAGGCATGCCGGAACCAAGACAGCCCCCTTCCATCCCATTTGGACAAAATACCAAAAGTCATTTTCCGATCCGCAGTAGCCAAAGGCCTCAACAACTGTGTCTCCTGTCGGTGTGACAAGATCAGTCACCTTGTACTGAAACTGTTCCTGTGGCGGATCCACCAAAGTCCAGACAAGCAGGAACACAGCCACAAGTGCAGCCGCCACTGCGACAACAGCATGTAACTTCCAGATGTTCAATCGGACTCGCTGCATTTGCTTTCCAGAGGCAGCCAGCTGGTTGATGGCAGATATACGGATCAACAAAGGAACCAGCTGAAGGACATATCCAGTATTTTTCAACCAAATAGTAAAACCACATGTGGTGTTAGAAGGGCTCAAAGAACTTGTAACAGCACTACCAATGGTAAGAAGCATTCCAACTTGAATCAGGATCAGAAACTCAGACTGGGCATAATAGATCACTTTTGTCTTCCTCTTGATGTACGTGAATGCTATGGAGACAGAGACCAACACTGCTGCCATGATAGCAATTGCCAATGCAGCCTTGAAGAGGGACCCATCAGAGCTGGCGACCTCCTCAATCACTCTTGGGTGGGATTTTGGGATGTTGGCTTGTAGAAGGTCCAAATTTTCCCCAACCCATTGACAGACTGCAGCCCTTGGGTCAAAGTTTCCTGGATCGCTACTGCGTTGCTGCCAGAACCGAAAGATTTGGGCCATCTGGAGGTTGTTTACCCTAAGGCTTGAAGCCACTTCATGAGCTGGGCTCCAGAAGGCTGTGTTAACATCTGGGTTCTCCGAAATTTCAATCAAACCAGTGCTTAAGATCCTCTTGAGGGGATAAGGATATGTATCACAAACACCAGCTGGATCCCCCATCTTCTCCTCATAGGGGATGTCAGGATCACATTGCTTCGAGAAATCCATGCGGTTATTGACACACTCCTGTGTTGGTGTTGGAAATTGGATTCTGGTGAATTCCGCATCCGTTCCACTGTACAGTTCAGGCAACGGTTCAGGGGACCACCACATGAATGCCACCGGGGATTTAGTGGCATTTGCAGCAGACCAGATTTGAACAGCTTCTCCATAGGAGTAGCCACCATTACCCTGTGGCCCTTCAAAGGCAAAAGCAATGTCCAAGTGATATGCTTGTGCCTGTGCAAAAGAAATCCAGCCACATCCAAAATCAACAAAATGGCCAGTGCAATTGGTAGGATACTTGTCACAGTTACTCTCTTCGGTGTGCCGAAAGTGACCATTGTACAAGCCTGCAACAAAAAACTTCTTCTCTTCCTCTTCAGTCTCTGGGGCTCGTTGTGCTATAGGATCTGATTCAGCACAGCTTGTCAAGGATACCTCCCTGCAGTACTGTCCCCACCTTGTTGGCCGTTTGAACGTCTCTGCAACTTTCCGACGATTCTTCTGTCCGCGCAAGCCAATGTATGTACCAAGAGAAGGATCCGCTTCTGCTGCGAATTTGGGTATGGACATGGCATTCTCACCCATCAACCCGTTGTCTCGGTATGGCTCAGATCCTTCAATCTCAAACCCCGCAGCATGATCTTCTGTCCAGGCTTCTGGGTAGACATGGAAGCAGCCCTGGTAGTTCTCTGGGTCCTGACTATTCTTGACGACCCTGCAATCTCCAACCTCAGCTGCCTTCAACAATTCTGAGGAAGTTATGTGTGTGAAAGCATTCCAGTACTCAAAACCAGACTGGGGATCGTAGAAGTTTAGGTTCATATCTGGCACTCCAGCTTCAATAGAAGTTGGGATATCCAACATTTCGGAAAGAACAATCTGAAGGATCCATGCATTGAAATTGATAGATTCCCATGCCCTGCCTGCCACACGAACCTCGACATAGTCCATCGAAGAATGATGACAGTATCCAAGAGCTTCAGCTTCAGGAGGATCCTGGGAGTTGCAGACGCGAGTCCTGTTCCAATTTGGCAGGACACTTTTGAGGCAGCCTCCATTGTAGAAGGTGTTTGTACAGAGACCATTTCCTCCGCACATGGATCCCATTCCCAAAGCAGCCTCACATTCTGCAGTTTGATTGCAAGGAACAAGGGATGCCCCAACGAGACCAAACCACGGCAAAAGGAAGGAGAACAGCAAAGCGATTCTTACGCTGGATGAAGGTTGAGACAACAGCATGGTGCAAACAAACTCCAAACCACGAAAAAGTAATCAAAGAAGTTGTGGCTCAACACGACGTGAGAGACAGCAATGAAAGAAGAGATCCAGGTTCATCGATCGTCCACGCCAGGGCACCAGGTGCCGTCGATCGAGACAGCAATCTTGTGTCAAAGCAACCTTATGGCTCCAAAAAGTCTTTCGGAATGATATTGTGTAGAAGGAGTCATCTAGAAGAAGAAAACGGATTTATTCCATGGGTTTCGTGACCTCAAAGGTCAATATGGCTTTTAAATCCAATTCTGGACTTTTGATAAGAAAAGAGCACATCCCATAGTGATTGCTACTATGTGATTTAATTGTTATGCCGCACAACATGTCGAAACTTCTATCTTCGGCTTCGCAGATTTGGCCAGCAGCCGCCACAACCCTTTGAAGTTTTACGAATCTAAATCTTTTGCAAGCGGAGCGGAAGCCTAACATGTTAACAGGCGGGGACTGCTTCTGGATTTTGGAGACTCGACTCGTGGAGTAAGCTGTATGAGAGAAGCTCTATGTCATATTTATTTCAGTAATTTCAGTCATAGAAAGAAGCCGAACGATTCCCCTTCGCGCAATCATTATCGTCTCGAGTCTCCAGGATGCAATACACTTACTCTGAGTAGTGGTCTACTGTACCCGTAGTAGTAGCTAGCTAGCTTGCAAAGCTCTTCAAATCAAGCAGGGGAGGAAGGGTCAAGTCTCTAATGGCGTCAAGTTCAAGTGCTTCGCATGTACGAGTACGTCACCTTGTCCAGCTATACTAGAGTACCGGTACATTACTCGTGCCAAATAGTGATGTCCAAATTAGACTAATCCACGACGACGATGCCGGGGATATTATGACCTCTCAAGGAACCACGGATCCAAGCAGTATTATAAGAAAGAACGAAACGCACTAGGAGTACTACTAGTAGTGTACTAGTCTAAGCTCAGTACTGGCACTTCATCTCTATCAAGGCTGGGTTTCTTTTACCTGTTAAAGAGCCAAAACATCAGACTGGTTCTCTGATGAGGAATCAAATCGGATCTTACTGCAGTTTGTTGTTGTTGTTGTTGTGTAACCTGCCGGCTGCCGGCGGTATTGGCAGAGCTATTGGCAGAGAGGGTAAAAAGATTAGGATGTTGTCAGAGACAAAATCTTACAGCAATCTTCCCTTCCTGGTCGCCACAAGAAGTCCACTGACCGTGACAGGACAAGTAAGTTTCACATGACATACATTGCAGGGATTGCACAGTGGTTTGGCAGCTTCGATGGCTGGATTTGAAGAGGCGGGTCTGGATTATTTAGACTTGCTTATTTTAAGGCCGAGGATAAATGTTCGAAGGCTGACTCGACTCCCCGAAAGCACCATCGAGATTCGTCGATGCGTTGAACACTGAGCTTCGTCACCAGGCAACTACCATAACACGTCATGGGTGAGCTTTGGCTGATAGATCGACGGTTGGTAAGAATGGCATGGACAAGATGAACAAGAGAGACCTGGACTGCTTTTGTCTGTGACGGAATCCCATCCTGCTGAATCATTTTGCTGGTACCTCGATGGCAATCCACTTCGCCGAGCTGATACCACAATTTTAGATTCATAACCTGGATCAGTAGAAGAATAGACCATGTGCAAAGGTGCAACTTACGACGACAAGACAGAGCCTGTGTTACCCGCCGTGGTGGAAGACTCTCTGAGGCGCCTCGGTGAGAATCAAGCAAAATGGAGCGGACTCTCGGTGGCAGCCAAGCTGGAACTCTTGGAAGCAATGCTACAGATTTTGACCCAGGAAATGACTCTGGACCAGGAATGGAAAGCGTTGGCGGATTGGACCGCGGAAACCTTGATGGGACTTGACCTGGATGGTCCCGAAGGACAAGCCGTGGCTGTCGCGGAGGCCGTCCTTCCCATGGTGACCATCAAGGCGCAAATGGAAAAGCTGATCGAAGGCTACAAGGCGGCTCTGGGAACGAGCGACAACATGAAGCACTACGACTCCAAAATGAAACCTCAGGTCCATCAACCCAGTGGTCAAGTCTACCTCCCCGTTTACCCCATTACCCCCAAGGACAATTTTGATCTGCTGGGTGCCGGAATGAACGTGGAATGGTGGTTGGATCCAGAACAGGTCCAAAAGGTGGACCAGGCTCCCAAGCCGTTCCACATGGAACCATTCAAGGACAACGTCGATGAGGGTGTCCTGGTGGTGCTTGGAGCCGGAAATCAATCCTTTCTGACATTGGTGGATATCTTGGATGGACTCTTTGTGCGACAAAGGACGGTCTTTTGCAAGCACAATCCCTTGCGAGGCGCCGGGTTGGATCCCATTTGTCGCAAATTGTTCCGACCACTCTACGAGCAAAACTTTCTCGGTAGTTGCTTGGACTTGAAAACCTTGGAGGCCAACAGTGCCCTCGTCTATCACTCTGATGTAACTGCCATTCACATGACGGGAGGAAAACCTACCCATGACGCCGTTGTGTAAGTTAGTTCTGGTCTGTCTGATGGCTTGTCACGACACGTTCCCGTGCTGACCCGTTCTCTGTTCATTCATTCATTCATCCAATAAAATAAAGATGGGGATCCACCAAGGAAGAACAGGAAACCAACAAGCAAAACAATACACCCAAACTCCAGGCCGAAATGTCTTCTGAACTAGGTTGCATCACTCCTTGGATCATGTCCTTCGAACCAAATGCATCCTATACCAAAGCAGAACTCCAACATCATGCTCAAATTCTCGTCATGGGAGTTTATAGCAATGCGTCCAGCAATTGCTTGGCACCCAAAGTGGTTGTCATGGCCGAAGAATGGCCCCAAAGAGAGGAATTCCAAAAACTCGTCCAGGCGGAATGGCAAAAGTTGGAATTGCCCGTGGCGTACTATCCCGGTTGCCAAGATCGATGGAACCGATACCGAGAGAAGTATGCCAGTGCCGTCGAGTGGCATGGTGCCGAAAGTAGTAAGGAGGACCGTCGATTGTCACCTCCACTATTGAACAATGGCCAACACGGAACCGAAGCAGTCGTGTTGCCTTTACTCTGCGTTGATTTGAAAGTGGACTTGTCCACGAAAGCTGGTCGTGAGAGTGCCCGCAACGAATACGCCTTTCAGCACGAACCCTTTTGCCCCGTTTTGACCTTTGTCACGCTCCAGAACAACAACACGACAACTACGTATCTGGAAACTGCCGTCGATCTCTGCAACAACTACATCTTTGGCACTCTCAGTACATCCATGAGCGTTCCCAAGAGTCTCGAAAAAACTTGTGGTGTGGAAATGGCCATTGCCAACGTTGCAGTACGGCTGCGTCGGCATTAATCTCTGGACGGGCATGGCCTACGGTTTTTCTTGGGGTGGATTTTCTGGCACCGAAACACTGGACAATGTGCAGAGTGGTATCGGTCGCGTTGGCAACTACAAGTTTATCCCTCATGTACAAAAGTCTGTGGTTCGCGCTCCGTCCATTTTGTCCTCTCACGGCAAGGCTACGAGCAACCACATGGAAACGAAACGAGTCATGACGGCTCTGGGAACCTTTGTACAAAAACCCGGTGTTGTTAGCTTTACCAATCTCATTTTCGCGGCGGTGCTCAAGATTGATCCCAAGATTGGTTGGGGTGTCATTGGAGCCGTGTCGGTGAGTGCGATTGCTGCCATTGCGTCGCTTGTTGTGGTGAACTAGCTAGCTAGCTAGCTGCAATGCCCGGATGTAGTGGTTTATTTTTAGAATGTACATTTGTAAGAAGACAGAGCAGTACCGTAGATATGCGTGGACTTGTTTCTTCGTCTATGTTAAAGATTAGAATTACGTCTTCAGTGCTGCGTTTCTCTCGTCTAAGTACGAGGTTCTTCACAGGAACGTCTTCAAATGAAGACGGACCTTCTACATGTAGCTGGAGCATCGCTTGCTGATGTAGTCTTTTTCTTGGCTTTGCCATTTCCATGCCTCACACTTGCACAAAGCCTTCTCTTTGACGTGTTTGCGTGTTGCATTATTTGATCGCTTCAAAGGAAGGGGAGCGAGCACATGCCGTGAGTAAAGAAAGGGTGTTCATCCGTGAATGGAGCCGCAATGGAAAGTGTCCTGATCAAGGCGTGGCCATGGTCATTTCTGCACGGGAACCAGTGTATTGCTGTTGTTGTCTTTGATTACACAATTTGCAACGCCCGATAGGTTCCAATACACCCAAAGACGACTCCTAGAACGGCATTGGCGACCATCCAGGGTGTTTCCCGTTCCAAAGATGCCATCAATTCGAGTTGTGCCGCTTGTTGTTGTTTCGATCTTGCTTGTTGCTGTCGTCGTCGTCGTTGGTATTGAATCATCATATAGGATGGAAATACGTACATGACGGCGGTTCCAAAGGTGGCACCTTTGAGTGCCAGTACCATTCTCAAATCGTGCACTTCCAATGCCAACCAGGTAATGACGGTCAACAATCCGACCGTCACTCCATGCACAAGCCGATTGCGTTGTAACAGTGGAATTTCCAACAAATCCAAGACGCCATTGCGCATTCCCACAAATGCCAACGGATAGGAACAAATGAGGGAGAGTGTGACGGCAAAACTGGAGAGTGTCATGATGGAATCGTGCGTGGCACTGTAATTGTGAAGAATGAGGCCTTGACTGGCGCCTCCAAACGTCAAGAAACCAAACATGGCCGGGAGCGCCATGAGCATCATGCTGCCACCAAAACTGGTCCGCACGACCGTTTGGTACGCTCCAAGAGAGGGTTCCTGTAATTCCCAATAAAACTTGGGGGCATTGTAGTGAGCACTAAATGCCGTACTGAGCATGGAAATGAGCAAAAAGGCATCCGTCGAGAACACATGAGTGGCTCCTTTGATTCCAAAGTGCGGCAAGGATTCATCCGGTAAATCATCGAGAAACGAGGAAGAGTGGTGGAGATGGACACTGGACTCCTGATAGGCCCCTTGGATGTATCGTATCATCATGGCGAGAGTAGTGTACACCATACCGGCAATTCCCACGAGAGAAAAGGGCGCCAACGATTGTAAATCTTGTAACAAACACAATGGCAACAAAATCAACAGTGTCGTCCCCAGCAATCCTTCTACTCGTGAGACATGCCACTGAGGATGCAGATAGAGCATGAGATCGGGAATGGTTCGTGACAGAATCATGGAATAACTGAGCAAGAGACTGAAGGTGACCATCATACAGGCCATGGTAGGAATCCATTTACTAGCGCCAGATCCAGTCGCGGCTTGCCAGGCTCCGGCATATGACTGTGCCTGACTGTACGCACACAGTCGTCCAATCAGTGAAAAGCCGTAGGCACTCATACTGCCCATCCACACAATCAACACAATGGCGGGTATGACGGCCGAAGGAGCATCACCAAACGCCGCAATGCCAGCTGGCAAGCCCAGGACACCCGCACCCACAATGTTCTTGATCAAGTTGAAAATCATGCTGGGAACCGAGGCTCCCGTTGGAGTAGTAGTGGATAAAGGTTTGAGAATGGGAGAATAAAACACATCTTCAGTCGAAGTACATGTTGTTGTACACGTCGTGCTACTGCTCTCATTGCCCGAAATATCGGGAGATTCTTGGTCCACGGGAAGAGACTTGCCCCGTCGATACTTCACCATGGTCCACAACAGATAGTCTACTAGCTAGATGCAGATAGCTCGACAATTCAATTCTACAGCCCCCTTGTCGGCTGATGTGAAGAATGAGAATTGTGTGTTTTGTTTCGATTTTGTGGTGGTGATTGCCGTTGGGTGATTTGAATTTCGAAGGCTTTCTTTCGGCAATGACCAAAGAGCGCACACATGCTCCTTTGGCCAGCTCAACACCCATGCATGACTCGACTCGACTCCACAGAACCTCAAGCAAAAGTCGATACGATTATTTGTCTGGTAGTACCGATACAGTCATCATCTCTCAGGCCAAGCAAAGGAACTGGTATGGACCCAATCAATACGATGGGTCTCTTTTGTGGTCACCAGAATCGAATCAGGCTGCCAAAACAATCCCGTCCAAAGCATAAAGCTTGCTTTTCTGGCAAGCAAACAAACCTTCTTGATGCGATGGCATGGATATCATCAGCTGTACTTGCTAGCTAGCTAGGCCCCAAAGGCAGGTCAAGCCCTCGTGCAAGTATTCTCAGATGTCAGCTACAAGCAACAGCAAGAGACCGATCCACTCCTACAGTACCTTGCTTGCACAAAGCTTAGTCTTGTTTTCCCTCTTGAAAGCTTGAAAGCGTGACCCTCAATCATCATCTCGATTCCTGAGCTATCCAGTACTACATGTGCTCAGATACCTGTGCTATTCATTCAAAGAACCCTACAATTCTTATCAGCTTCCGAGAGCTTTCGGAGATGCTGGCATTGTTGTCAGATAGATCAAAAGAAGCCAAGTGGGTGGTGGAGCTGTAGTTGCAGACAGCGGACAGCTGCTTCCTTTTCCTCAAGCTACAAAAAGTTGGGTGACGTAGTCGGTGACGTGCTCGAGTCGCAGTCAGAACTATTGCCCTGCCTGAAGAGCATCTTTTTTCGGGATGTCGCCCAAGAACATATATATTATTTCTTTATTGCATACTCAGTAAATAATAAGGCTTTTCCTTTAGTTCCTACACGTACATGTGTGGGAGAGCTAGGATTTCTAAAGAACCCCACCTCCTTTCCATTCTGTGCAGTTAATCTTTTTTCGTTATGTCGTCCATGATTGGATGCAAGAGGATCTCCTTTAAATATGGCTTTTCCTTAGGAGGAGAACCCACCTCTTTCCAATTCAATTCTGTGAGCTATTCTGTGCAATTTCGGGTCTCGGGTTGGTCCAGAATGTGGTTACCGGTATGTTGTGGAGGTGCGGTAATACAGCAAAAATTGAATTGATATTAATTATTTTGGATATACCTCGCCTACCGATACTCGTTTGACCAGTTGCCACCAAAAAAACGAACCCCATCAAAGCATGAAAGAACCCAGCCAATCAGAGAGCTATCAGAGTTATCTTGACGGAAACAGTGTGCCAATAGGAAAGCGGATCGAGTTGCTGTTTTTGAGGCCAGCGCTCACTGTTGGAGGTCTGTTGGGTCCTTCTTACTTCTTATCATCATCACAGATATCTCTGGCTGAATAAATCAGCCATAGATGCATGTTCAAGTTATTGCAGAGATAATCCGAGAAAACCAGCAAGAAGTAACGTGTGAAAGTGGTTTGCTGTGGTGATGCCACCACAAACACATACAGCAGATACAAACAGCTACAAACACAAAAAGTTCCGATCACCTTCAGCTGATCTGATCAAGCATTCTCCTCGTCGCCTTTATTACAACAATAGCATCATGCTGGCAACACCTCTCCAGCCCATGGCTCCTTCACTTGAGCAGGCGCAATTGCGCTGCGCTGCCCAACTTGGAGAGCCCGCGAGCGCTTCCGCTTCCATGACATCGGTGGGCTATACTATGCATAACCGCAGCTTGGAGGCTTCTTCGACCCGCACAGCAGCAACAGTGGAGGCATCCAATGAGAGACCCTCGCTCTCTCCAACTACAACAGAGAACAAAGCTAGCACCAGAAGTGGTCGGAGTAAGACAAAGTCGTCGTCACGAAGTGGACAACGGAAACACCGCGGTGATCCCAAGTCAAGATCAAGACATGGTGGGATCAAGAAACAGCACAGCTCATCGCGCAGCCTCAGTCCCAAACCAGGAACACAGAGTTCCTCCAATAACAATCACTCATCACTGTCCAGTTTGTTCGACTGGAATAACTCATCCCTCAGCATCAGTCAGAACCCAAAATCATGCTCACAGTCCGCTTCCACTGAGCGCCGCGGGTTGGGTTCCAGCTGTAGCAGCCAGAGTCAAAGCCTAAGGTCTGTCTCATCAGAGCATCATCGACAGCCAGCCTTGTCAAAGGTCAGGCACAGCTCATCTCGCTGTCTTAGCCCCAAACCAAAGAGGCAGCCGTCTTCCAAGAAGTCTTTGTCCTCGTTGCTAGACTCCAACCCACGGATCCCTGACAAACCTTCATGTTCACGGTCTGTTGCAACGGAGCCACCGCTGCCTCTTCTGGGCTCGGGCAGCTCTCACAGCCATTACAGCCAAAGGTCGGTCTCATCAGAGCATCGTCAGCACAAACACTCAGCCTTATCAAAGAGCAAGCACAGCTCATGCCGCAGCCTTGGTCCCAAGAAACCAAAGCCTAAGAAGAAGTCGTCCAAGAAGCAGTCACTGTCCTCTATGTTATCAGAGTCCACTGCTACAGAGCCCCCACTGTTCTTGGGCTCGGGCAGCTCCCAGAGTCACAGTCCACGATCTGTCTCATCCGCGAAGCTTCGACAGACATCCGTATCGCCCCTGGAAGCTTCGCAACGATCCTTTACGGCACGCCGCTTGACGGATCAACTCAAAGCAGCCTATTGTTCCAGATCAAGCGGTTCTAGCAGCCACCATCATGTTAGCCCCATTCCAACCATTCTCTGCTCGGATCGGGCCTACTCCCTGGCGCTTCCAGAGCTGCCTTCGCTGCACTCCAGTGAAGGCAAGCCCACCAAGAATAAGTCTTTGGGCGACGACCCAAAGTCCGCCAGAGACAAGTTGCGACAGTGTCGTCAATGTCATGGCAATTCCCAAGTGCTACACTATGATACTAAAATGACGACGGACCGACGAGAACTGCTCACCAAGACATCTTCCGCCCCCATGCTGGGAAAAGCGGCACCCAATGCACGTGACACAACAGCATCCAGCGGCAGCGCGAAGCGTTGTGGCAACGATATTGGTCTAAGTGTGCAATCGGATCACGATCGTAAACCCAGCAGCCACAAGAAAAAGTATCCCTCGTGGGTACCCCAATCACTCATGAATGACATGTCTGATTCTGATGACAGCGACTGCAGCTTTTGTCTGCCTTCGAATGATCCTCCGGTTGAGATACCGGAACCTCTGATTGACGTCGAGGACATTGACTTCTCCGACTCGGAAACGGGGTTGGATATGGCCGGTGAAGATTGTTGTCACAAGGATGACAACAATCTCATCATCGCCCAGAGTTTCGGTTGGGAGGAACCAACCAAAGCGAGCTCACAAGACCATGAAAGTGGACAGCACTACAGTCATCGAGGAAGCTTGTCATCACCCGAACAGAAGATTGCCACGAGCAAAGAAGATCTTCCATGGGGCGTCAAAGCTGACTATTTTAAGGAAACCAATGATAGGGAAGAACATTCTCTTGGCCATTCTCTGACGATGTCGGCGGCGCCCAGAAAGATGGAAGAAAAGGAACATTGCCATGGCGGACACGTTGAGATACCTGAACCTCCGATTGACTTTGAATTCTACAATGTGGAAACGGGGTTGGATATGGCCGGAGAAGATTGTTGTCACGAGGATGACAACAATAGCATTGCCCAGAGTTTTGGTTGGGAGGAACCAACCAAAGCAAGCTCCGTCACCAAGCAAGACCATGGAAGTGGACAGCACTACAGTCATCGAAGAAGCTTGTCGGCACCCGAGCAGACAATTGACACGAGAAACGAAAATCTGCCAAGGGACCACGAAACTGACTACCACAAGGAAACCTATGATAGGGAAGCAGGTTCTCTTCGCCGTTCTCTGACAATGCCAGCGCCCAAGGAAGAAAACGAACACCACCATGGTGGCCACCGTAGCCATCACCATCACCACCACAAAAACCATCATCGTCACCACAAAAAGGAAAAGAAGCATTCCAATAGGCATCGGAAACACAAGCCTTGCCACCACGGAAATCATTCCTCACATGACAAGAAGGAAAGACCAAGCTGTCACGGGCGGAAAGATGGTTTGGAAGCCTTCATTGCTGCTGTTGGTGATCCCAATGAGATGGACTTTTGGGACAAAATGGTAACACATTGGGCGAGTCTAGGTTAGGTTTTAGTTTAATCTTAAAAGCAGATTCATGCAAGCGAGAATAGCTCGCCGCAATGAATAGAATCTTTCAAAAAACTTCCATCCACCGTCTGAGGTTGCAACGGTGGTACGAGGATGCCGGTACCCGTATGATCGAGGGGTGCACCTGGCGTTGGAATTGTCCGGGTGTTGTTTATCGAAGATACATACCGTACCGGTACTTAAGCCACGAGGGGAGACAACCTAAATGAATAAACAAAATCACT